CTTTTTTGAGTTTACTAACATAAATGCGTTTCGAGCTACATATGGCGCGTTGCGTTCCCAGTATTCTTCACCATACTCTGTAAACATTTTGTACAGGAATTGCAGAAAGTAGCCTTTTGATAATAACATGGAAACATGGTTTTTTGCTTTGGATCTTTTCTGTTGTAATCCAGAGATTCGGGAATTGTTATACTTTTAATTCACTACACATGTCGTCTGTTCGGTGAAAAGTTTCTGTGGACTAGAATCATGCTGACAAGATGCTTATCGTATTTGGCTTTTTACCTCGTCCAGGTTTCTTGTAATGCTTATACCTACCTTAGTATAAAAATTTTGAGATCAAAGATTAGCTCGCGTCAGTGGGTTGCTAAATACAAAACAGACCCCAGAACCCGTCCATTGTCTGCGTATTAGAGGTTTTATTTTTGAAATTCTTACTCACTTTCACTCAATCGCTCTATCTGGAACTTTCAAAAGCTTGCAAAAAAGTTTGACCTTATTTTTTTTCTCTTTTTATTGCTCAAACAGTCAACATCTCTACAACTCTTGGCAAGATGTATGGTAACGCTACAGCAAATAGTGATAAGCAGCACAAATAATGTTAACATTCCATATTTTGCTGCTATTGTTGTGTGACGTTTGGTATGTACATCCTGGCACATTCCCTCTCCTGAATTCCAATATGCTAATGTTGATTGTGATATACTGTCGCCTGCAGTGAAGATTTATACTCACTAAATATTTAGCATGGCTTTGTTAACATCACGTCGGCCGTGAATTGCTTAATGCTAAAAAAAATGAGATTTCTATATATCTTTTCTTGTTCTAGCCATAAATGAAGTTGTTGTTTCTGCTGTTTGTGGTGATCGCGGTTGCGCAAGCTGATTGGTGGGATTCCTTCACCGATACCATTGCGGGTGGTTTTATGAGCGCCGCGAAATGGGTAAAAGAGACAGCCAGTCCTACTATCAGGTAACTTTGTTTATACACCTTTGCATGTGCACTGGAGCTACTGCTTAAAGTTATCCCTAGCGACACTTTTAGGGAAAAGTTCGACAGTGCAAAAGCTTCTCTACAAGATCCAGAGACTCACAAGAATATAAGGGAGTGGATATCGGAGGTAAAAGAAAACTTATAATGTTTAGTAATCTATTTAGTATCGCTTAGACTAGAATGCAAAAAACCATCGCTGCTTTACATTATTTTAAAATGTCAGAAAAAAGCTAGCGTTTCTATCCAAAGCTTTAAATTAATACTAAGTTTCACAAAAATTCTATGCACTTTTTATTCAGCCATTTTCCAAAAAAATAATTTCCAAATTGAATAGAGATTTTGCAACCTTTTGCTAAACCTGTTTCGTGTTGCCTCGCGTTCACTGTTCAATTGCGTTAATAAAACAGATTGGTCTTCGTTCAACACTAAAACCATATGTTATTTTATTTTACTTACTTCCGTAAGTTACATCAAATTTGATTTAAA